CAGGAGAAGTAAGGAGGTGAGAGAAGATAGAAATACTAGAAAATGATTTTGATTGAATGACATTGTGATATTGTGTGCATGTATAAATATGTAACAACAAATCCTACCACTATGTACCACTGTAATCCAGCAATAAAAATAAATGGAAAAAAGAAACATTAAGAAATGTTTGAAAAAATGTGAAGAAAAAAGAACAATTTTACATCGTTGTTAAGATTGTTAATTAGTTTAATCAGTATGAAAATCACTATGAAATTTCTCCAAAAGAGTAGTAATGGAAACACAAAATGTCTAATCTATCCCACTCCTTGATATTTATCCCAAAGAATTAAAGTCACATCTTTAGCAATGCAATGCCTACACATTTATAGCAGTACAGTTCACAATGCCAAAGTTATGAAACCTACATATGTATCCATCAACAGATGGATGGATAAAGATCATGTGGTATGTATACACAATAAAGTTCCACTCAATCTTAGAGAATGAAATGTCATTTTCAMGGAAATAGATGGAACTGGAGAACATAGTGCTAAGTGAGATAAACCAGACTTATAAAGTCAAGGGTCATGTGTTTTCTCTCATATGTAGCAGTTAGAGAGAAATAAAAAAAAATAAAGGGACATGTCACAATGGAAAAAAGACAAGGAYAGTAGAGAAAGGGAATGGGGGAAAGGAGAAGAGGGAGGAAATGGGAAGTATATGGGAAAGAAASTGACAAATTTGTGCTATGTGCATGTACAATATATCACAATATATCCCACTCTTATGGATAATTCTAATGTATTAATAAAAACCTTTAAAAAAAGACGACAGTACAGAAGTAACAACTCAAAGATGGTAGACTAACAACTTCCATGTATAAGCCCTGAAACAACCTACCTGGTATGAACTGTCAGAAGCAACTGTTTTGGAACTCTGGAATCTAGGTGATAATATAGAATCCAGGGAARTATTTGATTAAGAAAAGTTCTCATAAATCTCAGTGTCTCATGAACCAGCTACTCTTCCCCATAGAGCAGCATCCACGGCAGGCAGCTGTGAGGATACTGGTCTGCATTCCTGTTGCATCTGGTTGATCTTAGAATGGGCAACATGGATCCTGTCCTACAAAATCCACCTTTATATGTTTTGGTCATATGATCTGRATTACTGAGGAGCCATTACACAGTCTGGCCATTGTAGAGTTTCCCATTCTCTTATACACTGTGTACAAACAATCATTTTAATTTGCATTTTGTGACTCCAAATTTATATTGTGTAGCTTGTCTATAATTATTTCCTTATCACCTGAGGTATGAATTTTGTCTTTCATCAGGTAGATYATTAATATCTATGGAACAGTATCCATGTATTCTAGCTGTTTAACTATTCAATTTTAATTTTTCTATGATAATTCATGCATAYCTATAAAGATGAGATGTGYTTAAAGTGCTTGTCAAGAATGTCTTGCCTGACCACTGAACTAGCCCTAGCAACTACAAATTAATCAATGAACCACAAAATGTAGAAGCAATCAGATAACTGAGCTGTTGTTCACATTGTACCTCTTCCATTTTAATCAGGAAGCAGTCCATGAAGTCCCGAGGATTGTTCATATCTAGGGATTCTTGGTGTTCCTTTATTTTCTTCAAAAAATGCTGTTTTAGATCASAATAATTCTTGAGAACTGTTTTATGACTCCCTGGGAAATAATCAATGAGAGCAGGAAAATTGTTGCAGACCTACAAAATAAAAACCTTTATTTATTAGAAACAGATAAGAAAAACGTGAATATTATGCCTAGTCCATCTTAGAAAATATAACTTTAAAGTTTTTTAAAAAAAAATTGGTTTCCACCTTGAGGGAGAAGTTTTCACTGTATGTATATAATAATTCCCTAGCTTATAGAAAGATTACAAGGAGAGAAATATGACCAGAGGATCAGAAATGATAACCCTTTCCTATATTCATCCATCATCTTTAAGGATAAAAATTTATATAAATGTTCTCCATTTTCAATCTAATTTTTCTCTACAATCTGGAAATATAGCTTGGTGTGAATTACCATGACTGATACTTTGTAGATGAGAACAGAGTTTAGGGGAATTGGGGTAACCAGAGAAAGACTATAATGCTTGGTAATTATGAATGATGCTCAGTAGAGTAGAGGGAAGAGAACAGGGAGAGGGAGGAGGAGAGGGTCAGGGGAAGTGGTGGGGACTGAATTAGAACATATCATATTCCATGCTTTTATAATTATGTGAAAATGAATCTTATTGTTAAATATAATTAAAAAGAACTAATGCAAGTTAAAAAAAATAAAAATCACAATGCTGTTCTCTGATTTTTCTTATATGAAGCACCTCAGAAATAGAGTAAATACTAAAGAATAGTGAAGGTTTCGAAAATACTGTGAAATACATTTGGGCATGAAGTAACTATGCACAAGATCTCACAATTGACTTATGAAGAATGCAGAACCTGCCAACTAAGCATAAGGCAAAAGTATCTATTGAGGATGGTACACACTGAAATACCATCATTTTATTAGACTAACTCTATTACCTTGTCAGGTCAGATGCCATCTGAAATGTTGTTACGGTTTAGATGAGAGRTGTTCCCCACGAGCTCATGTGTGAGAAAATACAAGAGGGTTTAGAAGTGAAATAGTTGAGAAATGAGAGCCTTAATTGAACCAGGGCATTAATCCACTTGTGGTGATTAAGGTGGTGGTAACTCTTGATAATCGTCATTCTGACTGAAGTAAGATGAAATATCAGTGTAGTTTTAATTTGCATTTCATAATTGCTAGAGATGTTGAACATGTTTTCATATATTTGTTGAACATTCATCTTTCTTCCTTGGAATAGTGTCTGTTTAGTTCCTTTGCCCACTAATTTATTAGCTTATTTGGTATTTTGGTGTTGTTTTTTGAGTTCTTTGTATATCCTGGAATTAATGTTCTGTCTGAGGTGAAGGTGGCAAAGATTTTCTCCCATTCTGTAGGGACTCTCTCTACATTTTTGATTGTTTGCTGTGAAGAAGTTTTTAGTTTGATACCATTCCATTTATTGATTCTTGATTTTACATCCTGTGCTTTAGGAGTTTGTTGAAGAAGGCGGTTCATAAGCTAAAAAAGTTCTTTACAGAGTTGGGCCTCCTTTTTCTTGTAATAGGTGCAGGGCTCTGGTTTAATGCTTAGGTCCTTGATCCACTTTGAGTTTGGTTTTGTGCAGGGTGAGAGATAAGAGTTCAATTTAATTCTGTCACATATGGATTTCCAATTTCCCCAGCACCATTTGTTAAAAAGGCTATCTTTTCTCCAACATATGTTTTGGATCCTTTGTCAAGAATCAGATAACTGTATTTGTGCCAAGCAAAGTGATGAAATTTCTAAGTGGTGATTGGAGTGCAGACCTTGTGAATGATAAGTTCTCCACAGGGGACTAGATGTCCACTGAGTGACATGATTGTAGTCATTTGTACTCCATTGTAGTCACCAAAGTGCTTTATAAATATTAGGCTTTATGGGATATTAGGAAAAGCACTGGCCAGAAAGCCAATAGGTTTGCATGACATCTCTACATGTGGAAATTCATTTTCCTGTGCATAAAGTGAAGGACTCAGTCATATTTTCCTGATGCTCACTACATGACACCAAACTCTGGGTTAGACTGTGGTGTCTAGATTCCCTTCACTGCTTGGACCACTAGAAGTTTTGACTTGTCAAAGTAAAGAACATAAATGTTTTCTCAGGAAGAAGGGGTAGGATATTGTCTCACCTGGATCCATGGGGAGCTCATAATCTGCACATTTTCATTTATTTTCSTCATTAAGTTTAGAAAATCCTTATCTTTATAATCAAAACGATTATGGAAGACAATGGAGCATATCACATTGCAGGGAGCACAGCCCAGGAGAAAAGTAGGATCACAGGGTGAGGCTAAAGAAGTGGAAACATTAAAAATTATCATTAAAAATAAAAAAATGTATTTCTCTTTGAGATCACAGGGAAAGGTAATTGTAGAAACTCTAAACAATATCTATCTAGAAGATCCCTTGACATGAAAATATTCAGCATGCTAAAAAATTATCACTTTTACTTTAGTCTCAAATTGACTTTTACCTTCTAGCCAGTTTAATAATGGTTAGGAAATGCTCCATTCAAATCTGCCATGTTTTTAAGCCATTCTAACCCAAAGTTACACTTATTTGGAAAACATTTTAAAAGATCACTTTAAAAACCTCTATTAATTCAATTTCAGTGTAGTATCATATTTGTCATTAAACCTGTGCATAATTAGGAATTATATAGAAAGCAAAAGAAATTAGGGATAATCATTGTAAATATATATTTTTCTTTACCTCTCTCTCTCTCTCTCTCTCTCTCTCCACACACACACACACACACAAACACACACACACACATACACAGTCTTTACCTGTGCTAGTTTTACATATGAATCGTTCATATAGATGGTGACCACTGAAAGACCCATGTAAAAAACCAGCATAGATAAAGACCAAATAGAGAGAATCTATGTACAAATTTGTATATTTGTGGAACAGATGAATATAAGCAGAATACATTCAAGTTTTATGAGGAAAAAGGCAAACATACATAAATAATGACATGCATTTATAAACATAAAAGTGACAAATTTTTATTTCAAAGTAAATTTGAGGTAACACAGAGGTTAAGTTCATAAACAGAATTTGAGAGAGACGGAAAGAAAAATTGAGAGGGAAGTTTTTCCATCTTAGGAAATAGAGCCTGTCATCTTCAATTGTCTCAAAATCTAATCTATTTGGCCATCYTGCCCCTTGTGACCTTCTTGATAATTTCTCTGAATCATATAGTCACCAGTAGAACAATATAGTTTAGCTAATTTTAATGCTGGCCATCATTTTACTCAATCCTGTCATTTTACAGGTGAAGAAAGTAAAGTAGTAAAAATTAAAAAATTAAAGTAGGAAAATGTTCTTTTTGGGGGGGCTCTATAAAAAGGAAATTACGAATAGGTGAACAATAATTTTTATTTTTTTAAGTATCCAATATCAAAACTACAGATTTAAAGTTTACTTGATTAAAAAATATTAACCAAGGAAGTGAAAAACCTCTACAATGGATATTACAAAAAGAAATTGAAGAAAACACACACAGAGAGAGAGAGAGAGAGAGAGAGAGAGAGAGAGAATCTCCCATGTTCAGAAGATTTAACATAATTAAAAGGATCATTCTATCCAAATCAATTTTCAGGCTCAATTCAATTCCCATAATAATACCAAAGAAGTTCTTTACAGAACCAGAAGAAACCATCCTAAAATTCACGTGGAAGCACAAAAGAATCCAAACAGTCAAGACAATCTTGAGCAAAGGAGCAAAGCTGGAGGCAGGACAATGCCTTGCTTTAAGGCCCACTAAAGAACCACCATAAGCAAAACAGCTTGGCACTGGCATTAAAATAGGCAAATAGAACAATGGAAGAGAGAGGATATCCCCAGGGGGTGAAAAACACATGCATCTATACTCAACTGATTTTCAACAAAGTTACCAAAACTTATATAAATGTAGCATGCAGAAAATTGCAACTTGACCCTTATCACTCACCTGTACAAAATTAACCAAAATGGTTCAGAGACCTTACTGTAAGACCTGAACCCCAAAATAAACTAGGGGAAAACACCTCAACATGGATTCAAGTGATTTTTTTACATGATCCTATAAGCAAAATAGGCAAATAGATTACATGAAACTAAAAAGCTCTTAAACAACAGTCAATAGACTAAAGAGACATGCTACAGAATGGGAGATAATATTTGCCAAATATTCATCTAACAAAGGATTAAATTGACAATATACAAGGAAATAAAAACTTAACAAACTCCAAGTTATACACTTAAAAATGGGCAAATAATCTTAATAGGCACTTCTCGATAGAAGATATGCAACTGACCAATAAATACATTTTAAAAATGCTCAATATTATTAGCCATCAGGAAAATGCAAGTCAAAACTAACAAGAGATATTATTTTACCCTTGTTAGAATGGCTATCATCCAAACACAAAAAGAAAAATAAGAAACACAAATTACCACCACCACAACACCAAATAACAAATATTGGAGAGGTGTGTAGAAAAAGGGCACATTATATTGTTGATGGGAATGTACATTAGGATAGCCATTATTTAAAAAAAAAAAAAACAGTATGGAGTTTCCTCAAACATAAACAGATCTTCCATATGATCCAAGTTCTGGTACATGGATGAAAGAAATGAAATCAACATACAACAGAGATTCCTGCATGTTCAGGAAAATTATGACACTCTAAAATCTAAGATTATATTATAATGTTTATATCAACAGATGAGTGAAAAACATGGTCTATTACATATTCACAATGTATTTGTATTCAGTCATAAAGAAGAAAGAAATCTTGCCATTTGCAGCAAAGAGAGAACTGGGGGACCTTATGGTAAGAGATCAGAAACAGAAAGCCAAGTATTGCATGGTCTCCCTCATGTGAGGAAGCTAAAATGAATGTGAACCTGAAGGTACAAGAGTGATTACTGGAGATGGGGAAGTTTATATGCTGGTGGTGAGAAGGATAGAGAGGTGGAGAGGATGGATTTTAAATGGTATATGCTGCATTCATATGTAAGAATATCATAATGACCCTTCTTAATATGGACTGATTACATGTCAATAAAAATACAATAGAATAATTAAAAAACCAAATAAAAAATGATACAAAGATAGCACAGAGCATTGGGCATGAGCAAAGCTTTCAAGTTATATAGCTTAAAAGTTATATATTCCTCTGACAGATGAGGTAAATGTTCCAGTGTTCTAAGCTTTCAGAACAAAGGTTCCTTTTAGCTATGGAGTTAGAAGGTAATTAGGGAAGAGTGGCAATTTCTTTTCTATATCACTCACTGTTAAAGTCTGATTTTAAGTCTTTCTTTTTTTTTTTGTTAATTTGGAAGACAAATTTGACAACAGAGCAATCTGAATCCAAGCTGAAAATCAGAGACAATGTGAAAAACACTTTCATGGGTCAATAGAAAAGACACAGAGAGGTAAGTATTTAGCATAATCATGATTATTGAGACTTTTCAGGAGATATACAAATAATGTAAAACCAGAGATTAGTATAATTACTAGATACTGGCCTTGGAAAACATCATGGATAAAGTCAGAAAGCAAAAGAGACTGTGGCATAATGAATCACTCACACTTGGTTTTCCTCAACTCCTCCACAAGGCAGCGGGCTTCCTCTTGAACTCGGTCTTCAATGCTCCTCTTCCCCATCCCAAAATTCCTCAGAGTCATGAGTGAGAAGCGCCTCATCACTTTCCATCTGCTTCCAGTAGTTAAAATGATTCCTAAATGAGGGAGAGCAGAATCTAGGAGGATATCCCAGGCAAGGTAGAGGAAGTTGATAAGTGGAACCCACAGAAATGTTCAAGCTCAACCTGGCTTTCTCTTCTATATTTTCCTCCTCCCCGTGACCATTGTTCAGCCACCTCACATGCATGCCCACTTACCAAGTCCTTTAGAAGCTCTATCACCCACAGGGAAACTGCCTCTTCCAGAAAATACTTCCCCATGATCAATCAGGGCTTCCTTCACAGCTTCATAGCCATGCAACACCACAGTGGGTCTCAAACCCAAATACACAGTGAACACAGGGCCATAGACTTTTGACAACTGGAAAGGAGAAAGAAAGTGCAAATATTAGCTGAAGAAGATCAGCATTAGGTCTACATGTTCAGAATGATTCAGACTGTTATTCAGATTAGTCTCATTATATTAACTATATATTACAGTGCCATAAGAATCTTCAAATATTTCTAAATTGTACTCACAMATGTGATGGCAATCATAGTTATCACTTAAGGATGGTCTACTATGTGCCATACCCACTCAAGCAATTGATATCTACACTATAATTAATCCTCACATCAATGCATCTAGAGGACTTATTTGTCCTGTTTTACATGCAAAGGACTTGAAGTCAGAGAGTTACAAACTCATTTGTAGCATATCATTTTTAATAAACAGAAGAACCAAATTTGAATCTCCAGCTTTCAACTTCTGATGTTTAACAATTTATCAGTCCCCAGGGCTTATCCACCTTTATACCAACACTTGGCTGTTTTCTTCTGGGTCACTCTCGGGACTTGTGTCATTGAGATTTTGACTCAGTAAGCCCACAATGAGTACTGGCAGTCTATATTTTAAAACCCCAGATGATCTTAAGACTTATAGGTTGAGACCACAGCTATCACTATCACAGMAAGAGAGTGAATACTAGGGAGGCAACACCAGGCCATGCAGCATCTCATACAAGAACAATTTCTCTCACTTGGCAATTCATAGGGTACAGAATGAAGCTTTGTGCAAAACCCACAAGGATTCTGTTACCATCCAGTAGATTCTGAATCGTCAATTCTTTCCCTCACTCTCTTATTCTAGTTCTCAGCCCATAGTTGTTTTTTTAAAAAAAACTATTTAAATTAACAGCTTTATTGAGGTACCATTTATATATATATATATATATATATATATATATATATATATTTAGAGTGTACAAGAATATCTTGATTTATGTAGACATTGCAAATTGATTGCTACAGCCAAGCTAAGTGTTAACATTTTCATGTGTGTGTGGTGAAAACATGCCAGCTAATTTCAGGTGTAACATACATTATTATTTACTGCAGTSAGTATGCTGTGCCTTAGGTCTCCAGTGCTTATTCACTTTGTAACTAAATGTTGTACCCTTGGACCAACATCTCACCTTTTCTCTCACCTCTAAGCCCCCAATAATCACCATTCTAGTTTCTATTACCCATGAGTTTTTGGATTTTTGCTTTGTTTTGTAAGAATGTACATGTAGGTGAGATTATGTAGTAGAGGTCTTTCTGTATGGCTACTTCCCTCATCATAAGGCCTCTAGGCTGAGTCTATGTTGGGGTCATCAGTAGGTAATTTTTAARACTAAATAAGATTTTATTTTATGTATAAATCACATTTGATTTATGCATTCAACGACCAGTTGAGGCTTAGGTTGGTGTCATTTCTTGACTATTGAAGATAATGCTATAGTGAATATGGTGTGTGGATACCTTTTGGACATACTGATTTCATCTCTTTGAATACATTCTAAGAAGTGGGGCTACTGGATCATAAGGTAGCTCTATTTTTCAACATTTTGTGGAAGCTCAAATACAGTCATTTCTGTAATGGCTGTATCAATTTACATTCCCAGCACCTCTGAGCAAGATTTCCCTCTTCTCTTTGCTAACACTTGCTATATTTTGACATTCATAACAGGAATCCTAACAGGTGGTTTTCACTGATGTCACTAAAAGAAGCCTACCAGAACAACTGTAGAGGAGAAAAAGGGCTCAGGATTTCAGAGGTTAGTCCATAGAAGGCCCACACATTACTTGGGGCTGAAGGTGAGGGAGAACATCATGGTGGAAGAGTGTGGACGAGGGAAACAACTCATATGGTGATCAGGAAGCAGAGACAGAGAGAGAAAAAAAGAGAGGAGGGAGAGAGAGAGAGAGAGAGAGAGAGAGAGAGAGAGAGMGAGCGCTCGCAAGAGAGAGAAAATTTCCACTTGCCAGATACAAATATATASCCCATATTGATGCTCCCAATGTACCTCTTTCTCCAGCCTAACCCACCTCCTCCAGCTACCACTCAGTTAATCCCATCAGGGAGTAAATCATTGATTGCCTTAAGGTTATAACCCAATAATTTCTTTTACAATCCTTCTTGCATTGTCTCACATGTGAGCTTTTGGGGGATGCTTCACATCCAAACCATAATGTTGAAATTCTCAACTGCATTTTCCTGATGATAAGTAATGTGAGCTTCTTTTCATATCCTCTTGGAAATTTGCATGCTTTTTGAAAAAAATATCTATTCATATTCTTCATCCACTTTTTATTAATTGATTTTAGTTCTAAATAATACTGAAGCTCCTTTCTTTTAATTTAAGTATGCTTATTTTGATGTTATTCTGCAAGCATGGAATATAATGTATTCTAATTCAGTCCCCATTGCTTCTCCTTTCCCTCCTTTCTCCCTACTCCTTTTCCCTTTTCTCTACTCTACTGTTGTTTCTTCTATTATTTTTAGTGTTTTTTTTAATTAGAGCCTTGTGAATACACACAAAGGTAGATTCATTGCAATACATTCATATATGTACATAGCAATTTTTGTCAGATTCATTGCATAGTTCTTCAACTTTGCCATACCTCCTCTCTACTCAAACCCTTTTTTTCTACTCCATTAATTTCTTCTATTTTTGTGGAATCTACCCTTCTAACTTTTGCCCATTATTTTGGTCTAGCTTCCATATATCACAGAAAACATTCAATCCTTCRMTTTGTGGATCTGGCCTATTTCATTTAGCATGATGTCTCCAGTTTTATCTATTTTCTTCTTTGCCCATATTTAATAAGGTTATTTGAAAAGTTTTTTAGTTTAATTTTGTCTGATTTTGATTTTTAGTTCCTTCTACATTTTGGATACTATATTTCTCCTTCTATAGGGTCTTTTCTATTTGTACATTGTTTCATTTGGTATGCATAATTATTTTTAGCATGATTTAACCTCACTTTTGTATTTATTTTTTTTCACATGTATACACTAACCCACAACAAGGAAGAGTAGGGAGGGGAGGAATAGAAGTTCACTGGATTAGACAAAGGGGAATGAAGTGCAGGGAGAGTGGATGGGATTAGAAAAGGCRGTAGGATGAAGCAGACATAATTTTCCTTTGCTCATAAATGAATATGCAACCAGTGTAACTCCACATTATGTACAACTTGAAGAATGGGATTCTAATTGGAATGCATGTATGTATAATAAGTCAAAATACCCACTACTGTCATGTCAAAAGGCATTCTACTGTCATGTGTAACTAATTAAACAAATTAAACTTTTTTACAAATATCATTTCACTGTAATTTATTATTTTTTACTTTTTTCCATTGTGTGAGAATTGTGTTTGGGGGTGTGTATGGGCATGTGTGTTTTCATAGTATGAGTAGGTTTAATATATGTATACACATAATTTTGATCTCACTTTAACTGCTTTTTTTCTGTACCTGTTTATTATTTAGCTTTGGTTTCACAGAGGAGGGATGTATTCATATATAGGTTTGAATTGTTTTGATTTTATATTTACTTATTTGCTATACCTTGGTTTTTGTCCTTTGTATTGCCCCTTCTTCACTCTCTTCTCCTAATAATACTCAAATTTTCCTGTTCCTTCTTCTTCTTTTTTAATTTGTAGACTACTTACGGTTAATTCTTTATTTCTCCCTCTTTATAGTCAACATTTGTGATCTATATACTGTCTCTCCAGGCTTCACTTTTTAAAACATTTCAAACTTTCTTCTTTCTAACCTATTTTATCTTCACATAAGAAACTGTAATTTCACTAAAAAATAAAATTATATACTTTATGCAATTTGTACCTCATTCATGTTGTTATGACTATTAACACAGCTGGTAATTTACTAGACCCCTGCTGTCTAATGACTGAGCTTGCTCACAGTTTGTATTGTTGATCCCACCATTCCTCTGTAGGTGGCAATTAGTGTTACAGACGTCAAAATAGATACTGAACATTTGTCTTAAGGCTATACATCTATTGGTAACAATAGTGCTATTTCTTGCTCGGCACTTCCTCTAAGGGCAGTTRGAGAGTGAGTGGGTCACTTCAGGTTCACAGAGTAGATATCCTGTTCCCAAGCAATACTCACAATTCAGCCCAGTAACAAAGAATCTCACCCCACCCATGTTCTAGCCAACCTCAGCATCAACATTACTTCAACACATAGAATTGAGGAGAAAAAAAACATCAAGACCAACAACCAGGCCCCAAGGAAGATCAACCACAGGGGTACCTCAGGTCATACCCATGAACATACTCATATATCCAAAACACAGAGAAGTGCCTTCCCAAAATGTAGCTACACACAAAAGGACATAGGTTTAAAATGGAAAATGAATCCATCTCAAGTGAAGTAAAAGTACAAGACCTCTGAAAACTTGACAAAATAGACAAACAAGTCTTCCTCCTTAATTTACAATGCCCCAGCAAAAAATCCCACTGATATGAAAGAGCATAAAATTCCAGAGAAAAATGATAGAAAACTGATTATAAAAATTTTCAATAAAMTATAGAAAGTCCTAAGGAAAGAATTAGGAGAGAAAACTCAGTTGAAAGAGCATTTCAATAAAGTCATAGACACATAAAAAACAATCTAGTCAGAATTGGAGATGAAAGACATAAACAAATAAAAATTCACTCAAAACCATAAGGATTATGGAAATTAGATTATGCAGCAAATAGAAAATCACAGTAATTGATTATGAAACAGGGAAATTTATTCCAGACTTTTGCCATTTTAATATTGCCATTAAATATTAAATGTAAATGGTTCTTTTATCCCCGATGTATTGTTTCATTACGTCTAACAATGAAAACTATAAAAAGCAATGGAAACATCATAATCAACAGAGAGTATTTGTCTTGCAATATTCTCTTTTCATAATTTGCTTGTGCATATATATATTTAAACCGAAGGATTAATTTATTAACAATTTACAAGCCACTGGATAAGCATCAACATACTTACATTGGTTAAAGATTCGCTGATGTTTTTAGCATCTATCTGTAGGATATTCCCAAGAATTGGGAGAGSCATGGGTCCTGGTGGGAGTCTCCCTCTCCCAGATCTCTGTCTCCATAGTGAGAGGAGAAGAATACAAGAGAGACTGAGCACCAGGACCACAACAAGATCCATTGATGCTGCCTTCTTTTACTTTGACAGCTTTGAGCTTGCAGTCAATGTAAAGCTTTTATATTGCTCCAAGTTAATCAGAATGTGTCCTATTGAAACAAACTGCTGAACCAATAAACTAGATAAGTTACAATCCTTTCTGATTGTACATAGGTCCCCTGATAAGGATAAAAACAAACTATTATTTACTCTTGTTCTCCTTTCCAAACCTCTAATCATGACAGTCTAGTTCAGCAATTCTGAGATAACAGAATAGGCATTAAAAAGAAAGAAAGAAAACAAACACACAAGCACACAACCTATGGTGGTACCCATGTGCAGCTAGGATTAAGAAAAAAATAAAGCATTTTATCCAAAACATTGCTCAACATGCTGGTTGGAAATTCGTGACTTGGGGGAAAATAAGTGTATCTCTGACTTTTACATAAAATTATTGAACTTATGATATTTCATCAAAAAAATAAGATAGTTTGTCTTTGAAAATCAAACCTCTTAAATATTTTAAAATGTTGACCTAACATCACAAGTGCCTAAGCCTAAACTGGGTAGTACAATCTAAACATTTTGAAATAACAAACATACATCATGACATAATTAAATAAATTTATAGAACATTTGCTATTTAGCACCCCAACACTCCCCAAATCCTGGGGAGCAAAGGGCAGAGATTATTATTTTTTATTTGACAAATGGGGAAAGACAGGGGTCAGAACTGGAATTGACAGGGATCAAAACTGGAATTTGAATGAGTTCCAATGCCCATAATGGTGTGCTATGGCTTACATTAGAGCTGCTTCCAAAGCCACCTTAGAAGAGTAAAGCAAACACCACATTGACTCTGTTCATAGACCAACAAGCTTCCCATCAAATCAATACCCAGTATTTCACTCCAAGGATAACTGGGTCATAGATTCCACAAAAGAGAGAGGCACAAAATACCCTCTCCCCCTCCATCAGCACAGAGGTAAAACTTACTCAGCAGAACTGAGGAAGAGACAATCTAAGAGAACTGAAGAGGGAGGCTTGAGAAACTGTGGCTCTGCCAATCTCTCACCTCTTCCAGATGGGACTGCTTCTATTGCTGTTTAGTATCGAATGTAATGGGATGAAAAATATCAGATCATAAGCAATAATATTGGGGACAGAAAAACAGGCATGTGCTTTAGAGGTGAACAGGAGGCAGACAGTATACCAAAAGACTCCAAAGCTCACAAGAAACAATATGAAATTGGAATATGAGACTTTATTTGGTAGTTGTGAATTGCATGTCATTGGATTGATGTAAACTACTAGATCACTAATGATAATGCTGTACAAATAAATATGTGTCCTATAAAAATACCATTGTATTTATTTTAATTTGGAGAGCATTGTTATTTACAATCTACTTAGTAAGGAAAATTGCTGTCAAGACCCCAGTTACATAATGCTAATGTGTACAGGTAATCTCAAAATTAACATGTACTTTCTCACATATATCAATTTTGATTTTTAAAATTACTTTTAACTAAAGTAAAATTATTCCCATTTTGAAACAGAAAAGCTGGGTCAGAGATTCAATGYCTTGGCTAAGGGTGCATAGATGGTAGGTGGTAGAACTGAAGCTGGAACTCATATGCCTCCATTTCAAAGTCTTCCCTGAAGCAAAGCATACAGTTCAAAAAAGTTCAATATTTACTGAGTATATATTATTATGCAGTCTTTCATGATTACACTAATCATTGACTTGAAATGCTCAGTGACTTTAATAATTCCAACATTCATTATTTAAACTAGTGGGTCATAAATCTTTTATTTTTTAACCTTTAGAACTTGCATAACTCAAGTCTTGATGAATGCTATCCATGTCAAGGGGAAGTAGCAATTTGTTGTGTGACTCACAGGGGAGTGACATGTAATCCAATATGGCTATCAGACTCTAAATACTAATAGAACCACACTTTCTTATTTTGGATAAAATTAATATGATTTTTTTCAAATCATTCGCTTTTTTATCTATGAGATGAACTTTTCTATTCCCTTCCTTCATTCCATGATGCCCTTCCTGAACTTTTCTCTTTTTATAGAAAGACAGAAGCACACCACATACCAAAATATAGCATATAGCAACAGTAATATTAAGAAGGAACTTTATAGCAATGAACTGCTATGATACAAAAATCAATTTCAAACATTTATCTAATTATGCATCTAAAGGACCATGTGCAGCAAGACAAAAATAAACCCAAAATTAACAGAAGGAAAGAAATAACAAAGGTCAGAGCAGAAATAAGTGAGAGACTTAAAAACTGCAAAAGATCGGGCTGGGCATGTGGCTCAAGAGGTAGTCGCCTGGCATGCGTCCGGCCCGGGTTCAATCTTCAGCACCACATACCAACAAAGATGTTATGTCCCCCGAGAACTAAAAAATAAATATTAAAAATTCTCTCTCTCTCTCTCTCTCTCTCTCCTCTCTCAGTCTCTCTTAAAAAAGAACTGCAAAAGATCAATGAAAGATTTTTTTATGAGAAGAAAGCAAAAATTTGTTAGTCTAAGAATAAAAAAGAAAATAAAAAAGCAGATAAAATTTGAGATAAAAATAGACCTTACAATTGATATCACAGAAATAAAAAGATCATTTGTAAAATTAAAAATTATAAATCAACCAATGGAAAAATCTAATAGAAATGGTTAAGTTTATGGACACATATAACATACCATAAGTTAGCTGAGATATGAAAACCATAAACAGACTAGCCGTTGGTAGTAATATGAAATTAATAATAAAATATTATCCCATCTTATGATAAGRATAGAATGGCTTCACTGCTCAATTATATCAAAATGTCATAGAAAAAATTACAAATAATGGAAAGGAAGGTCATTCCTCTAAAYGCATTCTAAAAGGCGAGCATAATACTCTTCAAAATGGGGGTCAGAAAAGTTTGACTTTTATGACTTTTAGAATTTGCATAAACCCAGGACACAATGAACTGTTTCTCCAGGGCAAGCAAAAGCTAACTTGCTTCCTGACTCAGAGAGATCTGAAGTCCAAACCAATSAAGTCAGTATAATCTCTGAGAGAAACACACTGCCTTATTTTGAACAAAAAAAAAAAACCTGAAGGCTCTCTTTGCACCATTAACTTAATTCCTCATGACATGAGTGTTTCTACTCTTCTCCTACAGAGGCTCTTAACTGAACTTTTCTCTTTTTATAGAAAGAAGGAATCACACAACATAGCAAAAGTTATGGGATAAAGAAAGGCTAACACAAAGAAGGAATAGCAATAAATGCTGCATCAAAAAATAAATTAAAAAATTCTTGTAACCTAAAGATGCATCTCAAAGATCTAATAAAGCAATGGAAAACTGAAAGTAATAGAAGAAATAAAGTAACAAATATCAGATCAGAAAAAGATATAATAATCTAAGAAAAGGTAGTGAAAGTTAAGTTTTGAAAAATTATACCAAATCAGTAAACTTTTAGTTAGACAAGGAAAAAAGAAAGAAAACAAATAAGTAAAATGAGAAATAACAAAAGACACAATACAACTGATACCACATAAATATAAAATAATATTAGASACATTTATAAAAACTTTGTGCCAATGTAGAAGAAAACTGAAAAGAAATAGGTGTCTGGATATAGGTAAGTACCAAACTTGAACTATAGGAAACCATTAAAAACCCAAATAGACCGATAATGTCCATAATTTGATTCATTTTGAGCTGACTTTTGWGCAAGGTGAGWMATAAGTATCTAGTTTCATTCCTCTACATATGTCTCTCCAGCTTCCCCAGCACATTTGTTGAAGATGTCATCTTTTCTCCAGTGTGTACTTGGTGTCTTTGTCAAAGGTCAGATGACGTCATCTTTGTGTGTTTGTCTCTTTGTCTTCTTTTCTATTACATTGGGCTATATATTTATTTTGATGCCAGTACCATACTGTTGGTGTTACTATAGCTCTGTATTATAATGTAAAATTGGATATGGGGATACCTCCAAAATTGCTTTTGTTTTGGTTAGAATTGCTTTTATTTTTCTGAATTTTTTATTTCTTCATATGAATTTTAGGACTTTTTTTTCTAGTTCTGTAAAATATATCACTGGTGTGTTGATGAGGATTGCTTTGAATCTGTAGATTGTTTTGGATAATATGTTTATTTTAACATTATTTATACCTATCCATGTAAGTGTGTGCATGTGTGTGTTTGTGTCTAGTGCAAATGGAATTACTTCTCTGATTTTTTAAAATCAGATTGCTTATTTGTATATGGAAAAGCTATTG